TGTGTGCGTGTGTTTATTCTATGTATATATTTATATATATATGTATGTATATAAGTATATACATAGATACATATATATATATATATGTGTGTGTGTGTGTATCTATGTATGTATCTATGTATATATTTTATATACATATATATGTATATATATATATGTGTGTGTGTGTGTTTGTGTTTGTGTGTTTATATATGTAGGGCAAAGGCGGGGGTAGGTAGATATTTGAAGTAGTGTGTATATATACACATACTATGGTCGTTATTTGCACTGTCGTCAACTTTCAATGGTATCTTATTTCACCCACTATACTTGAGTGTTATTGTATGCTAACATGCTGTGATCACTACTTATGCTCTTAACCTTGACCGATGGTATTTTGTTTCTCGTTTCCAATTTGCAGGACCATATCGGAGACAAGAAAATTGATCTCGTGTGGAATTTGGGATTTGGTGACACGGCGAGTTTTGTTACTCTCGCGTTGATGGTATGTGATAATAGGGTTTTTGGCTTTTGGTTTTTAATCTAACGCTGAAACTTGATACGGACGCGGCATTTTAGGGAGTACATTTATTTATTAGTACAAGCAGTGAATGCGTACCTATATCCACTGTATAAACGCTTATCACTAAATTGTATGTGGGTGCGGCAGGGAATGCGTACCTATGTCCACTGTGTATACGTTTATAACTGAAGTGCATGTGGGTGCAGCAGGGAATGTGTATCTATATCCACTGTATAAACGTTCGTAAAGAAAATGTACATGGGTGCAGTATAGTTGGGTACAAGTAGTAATAGGCAGTGATCCGATGCTCAATTATATGTTGTTGAGTATATTTAGGTATCACTATAATTTATATAAACACCTTATCGATTATATGTCTTTACTTACATCCATTTATGTACTTCCATCCAGGGTGCCCGTTTCCACCAACTCACCCTGTTAGGCAATGATCCAATGTTCACTATGTCTTTCGCGGGGGGATTGGCTGCCCGACAAGTGTTATTCGAGCTGTCGCCGTTTTCAGGTATGTATACGTTCAGGGTTTTAAAGTTTAACGGTCTACGTTTTTGCGGGGGTTTAAGGTTTGTTTAGTTTGTCGCCGTTTTCAGTTATGCGCACGTTTAGGATTTTAGGGTTTGGTTTTGGTTTTAGGTTTTAGGATTTATTCTAGTTTGCGTGCTATTTTTAGGTGTGTGCATATAGTCCTGATTTTTACCCAGAGATGACACTGGTGGTGTATGTATGTGATATTTCATTTTGTAACATGAGGGTCGTGACTAACGTTCAGACTGTTATCACGCATGTGCATGCAGTGCTGCTCAGTACAAGTACACTGAGATGAGGCTGGCTGCTGTATGTGTGCACGTATGGATATGTATATAGCACGTACAGTGCTACTTAGTACAAATACACGGAGATGAGGCTGACTGTTGTATGTATGTACGTATGTATATGTATATAGTACGTGTAGTGCTGCTCAGTACGAGTACACTGAGATGAGGCTGGCTGTTATATGTATGTATATGTATATAGCACGTGTAGTGCTTCTTAGTACGAGTACACTGAGATGAGGCTGGCTGTTGTATGTGTGTACGTATGTATATGTATATAGCACGTGCAGTGCTGCTTAGTACAAGTACACTGAGATGAGGCTAGCTGTTGTATGTATGTACGTATGTATATGTATATAGCACGTGTAGTGCTGCATAGTATTGAGATGAGGCTGGTTGTTGTATGTATGTACGTATGTATATGTATATAGCACGTGCAGTGCTGCTTAGTACAAGTATACTGAGATGAGGCTGGCTGTTGTATGTGTGTACATATGTATAGTGTACGAAGGTAGCCTGGCTATTGTTTGAACAGTTTTCAAGTATGCGCAGGCAGATCTCAAAGTGCAATATTGGCCTTTCACCCTGAACCTTAACCCTAAAACCCTAAACTATATTTTCTTGGTCCAACTTCTCAAAGAACAAGACAGTCCATATACCCTAATTTATACACACTACTTACCTAATTCTCACAGCACAACATACGCTAAACATACCTCAAACCGGAATCTCAAACCCAACCTCTGAACTCTATAAACCCTAATCTATACGCACTACTATCTAATTCTCACAGCACAACATTGGCTGGATGCGTTGCCTGGCTCCCATCTATTCCCATTCACACTTCACGACAGCAGCGAGACGATGCTACAGTTCTTGGCACCCATAGGTAAGGCATACCGAACCATACCATGGTATATATATATATATATATATATGGCATGATCACACGTAGGACGGTGGTCTCAGAGAAGGTGTGTGGAATAGCTTGCTGTTTAGGTTGAGTTCGTCACAGCATATGTCTTAGTGTATGTAGTCGTAGATAGGTGAGGCTACCATACCATGCTCTTATGTGAGATACAGGTCTCAGATAAGTGGTGTGGAAGAGCTTGCTGTTTAGATTCGGATCAACACTACACGTTTTAAAGCATGCAGCGGCCACTTTAGTATGATTGTCGATGGGCTACAACCGCGTTAACATATTCAGGGTTTTATTGTTTTAGAGAAGCTAAGTATGTATGTATCATATCGTTCACATCGTCATTAAACTGATATTCTCACACTATCTTCGAGTAATTGAATGTTTGGTAGTTACAGCTTGCACACCCTGTCCTATAAATTAGGGCTAGTAAGGATCATGGTGTGGCTCTGCACAATACTGCATATCAGTATAGAGAGTACTAATGTCCTCAATATTGTCATGAGAAGTACTGCCCTAGGATAGAGGCCTTGAAAAATACCGTGCTCTATCTAAATTGTCTACGTATGTGTATTTTTGTACAAATGCATATATTTATATTTATTTATATATCCTAAACTCTTTCAACCATGCCACTGTACCGCTAGCCTTCTTCACGGATGTTACATCACACATACCCTAAACCCTACACCCTGTACTCCACACCCTAAATCCTACCACCTACACCTCTATACTCTTGTCTCTCATATTCTGAGCTCTGTGCACTTTGTTACACATTCACGTAGGGTCCTGCGCGGGCGGTCCATTCCGTTTGCTGTTTGCCAATGAACCCCTGGCCTTCACCGCGGATATGTTTTTGCGTTTAACGTTTATAGCCCTGGCGGGGATATACGTGTTGCAATGGTACCTCATCCTAACCAGCAAGGCAAAGTAAGTCAGCTACATGCGCGTTGATTTCAATTACGCATACCATACGATTTGCTTCCTTTCCGTTTATGTATGTCATTTATTGGCGGATGCCTGTGGTGTGACTAACGAGAATACACTCTGACATGAACTTGGTGTGTATCTGACGAATTGGCTTCTAACCTCTCCTGCATGCATGATCTGTTCTTCACACGGTTCCCGGGGTTTTTCTTTGTCTGTGTTTTTATAGGTAAACGGAGTTTTGCTTTGTCATAGGTATTTTGGGTAAACGGGGTTTTTGTTGGTCAGTGGTTTTTGTGGCATCTCAACCTGGCATGCACAGCCGAACAGTCGTGTGCATTGGATGTTGTTTGTGCTTTGTCCGTGCCATATGTCACGGGAGTTAATTATGTTGTATTTGTTCCGAGAGAGGTCTCTTACTTATTCACACTATGTGTACCAACGAGGGGGTGTATATCGAGCCCATTACTTAATCACGAGTGGATGTTTCGGGTTGCTGGATCTGTTACTACAACTACTATGCCCGGTGTCCCTAACACTTTGGGTTAGACACTATTGCACTGATGGTTGCAGAAATTGTGCGCTCTACATATACAAAGATATGCTACCCCTAAAACCGTGACCCTAAACCCCTAACGTTAAACCCCCTAAACAAAACAAAACCCTGATCCAATTCACACGGTAGTCATATGAAGACACCTCGTGCCAATGTTTATCAAAGTGCTCTTATGTTCACATGCACACATACAATGACACACACAGCGACGAGCAGGCCACCACACCGTCTCAGAATGTATCTATGCTAACAATGCTGTATCATATATCAACACATCTCTAACCAATCGCCAATCCTTATTAAAGTTCTCTTATGTTCACATGCACACGTACAATGATGCACACAGAGGCGAACAGGCCACCACACTGTCACGGAATGTATCTATGCTAACAATGCTGTAGCATAACAACACACCACTAACCAATCGCCAAAGTTTATCAAATGCTCTTATGTTCACATGCACACGTACAATGACACACACACAGACGAACAGGTCACCACACCGTCACGGAATGTATCTATGCTAACAATACTATACCATATATCAACACACCTCTAACCAATCGCCAATCCTTATTAGAGTGCTCTTATGTTCACATGCACACGTACAATGACACACACAGAGACGAACAGGCCACCACACCGTCACGGAATGTATATATGCTAACAATACTATATTATATATCAACACACCTCTAACCAATAGCCAATCCTTATTAAAGTGCTCTTATGTTCACACGCACACGTGCAATGACACACACAGAGACGAACAGGCCACCACACCATCGCAGACGCTGTCACGGTATCTGTTGTGTGGCGTGGGACTGATTTTGGCGTTTGTGTTGGCGAGATATTCCTTCAACGGCATCAACTCAGAGTATGTTTGAAGCTTGGAGAAGTTTTATCGTCTAATTTTTAAATTGTATATGTATATATATATATATACTTTAGACTATATTTATATCTAAATCTATATACAGATATATATACAGATGTACAGATATATATATATATATATATGTGTGTGTATGTATATATATATATGCTATATGATATATGTAGAAGGGGTTGTTACGTCCATAAATTGTCTCGAAATGGGATCAAGGAACAATACCAGCAGCTTGTGACCCATCACCGTCTTCTGAGACATTCTCCAATCCGTGATAATTACGGTTTTTCATTGCTCACAATGCGTTTGTTTGTTTTTTTGTAAATACATTGTAGGTACTCCGCCCTTCTCTTCCTGGGACTTCAGGCCACCCTGTTGGAATCGTTCCTCCGACTGCACGCAGTAAGAGGTTATGCCGAACGTACTCTGAACTGGCTCTGTTTCGTATTCCACTAGTGCATTTGGGATCTAAGTATAATAAACATGAATAATACAAGAAAGAGACACTTTGAGAGTATTTGTACTCACCAAGTCATTTTGTTGTGGTTGATTTTGTTCGTCTCATTTGCGGCGTGAAAACGTCCAGTTCAGATCGAGACGATGCCTCGTACAGTATATACATATGTATATATGTATATATATATATGTGTGTGTGTGTATATATATATATGTGTGTGTGTGTATGTATGTATGTATGTATGTATGTATATATATATGTGTGTGTATATGTATATTTATATATATATATATATATGTGTGTGTGTGTGTGTGTGTGTGTGTGTGTAGTAGTACGTAGTAGTAAGTAGT